CTCTTGTTCACAAAAACATCTTTGATTTAACGTTAATTTGATGATATGTGTCAACATATTTTAGCAGTGCGAGAAGATTCTTGAAAGAGGCGAAGCGTGTAAAATCTCAAATTCCACTCTTAAATCTTACATCCGTAAAGTAAGTTTCTACAAATATGTAGAAACACGCGAGTAAGATTTGGAAAAATTAAGAAAAGATTACTAGTTTTAAGAGAGAGAAAGAGAGATTTAATTTCTAAAATTTATAAATAGAGATCACATGGAATGTAGCGCACCACGTACCTGTAATCGTTAGGATAATTCCAATTTCGTAACTTTCACAACTTCCGGCGAGCAATTTCTACGCTTCGTGTATTATGGCTCTCTCAAAGAGATCTCCTCTCCCAAAGACTTCCTTATTGCCGCACAACGATGAAAATAAATAATGCTTTTTGGAGTACTACACGGGAGCATTAATGCTATTTGGTGCGTGCGCTCTCACAATAGTAGTTCAATGTCTCTGTAATATTTGAAAGATGATATATTCTTTCGCTTACAGTTAATCATACTCGTCTCTATTTTATTTTGTAAGAAACCGGAAAGAATCGGTAAACTCTATGTTGCAAATATAAGCTCACCGGGCGTCAATGCTCTCGATAGTACGGTAAATTTTGAGAATATTGCCATTTTCCAACATATAATAAACATATACAATGCGATTTTATGACATTATTGAGTCGTTATGGACATAATAAGAAAAATGAAATTGTGAAAGGTACGAGACAGAGGGAAATACGCTCGGCAGATTTCATGTATTACGCACGGAAAGCAACGCGGAAGCTGCCTTTACTTTTCCTGAAATCGCTCGGCTAGATCTCGGACATCGTTACGGCAGAATTGTTAAAATTTCAACTGATAATATTATGAATAATCTGAAATAGATACATTTATCACACATTGCGATATGTCCGGAACGGTTCGTTGGTATAATTAAAAAGGGAGTGGCGCAATTATGCTTTCATGCAAATAATAACGTTATTGACATTGGCATACTGATCATTTATGCTCGTATACTTGTATACATACTGTAGAGTTTTCCTCTTTGTTTCAGGTGAGTTTTAATTTCTCAACTAACTAAAAAAGTTTCATCATATGGTGAGTATTAGTTTTAATTAGTACGTTACATCGAATAATATATTTTTAAGGAAACTAATACGCGCGCGTCTCATAGGATGTAGTTTTCGAGATGTTGAAAATTGACAAACGTAAAGAAAAGTCATCAATTGGTGAAAGTTGGCCAATATTCACCGATTACGACATTATATTGAAGAAACACAAATTTTTACATTACGTAACCGTCCTCAATAATTCCTGTACTTTTGACGAAACTATGGAACAATCGCTTTGTATGATTTTATTGGTTTCATTCATTCTTCCGTGTGTGTTTGTAGGATAATTATTTCAATGTCATATCAATTTCTTTTTGTCACGAAAGATGCAAGAGGCTAAAAATTACAAGCACAAAACCATAAAAGAATGGCAACAATGCGTGAAATATATGAGATGTCAATGAATCATAGTGCAAACGTCGAAAATTTACATCTTCAGAAAAAATAATAGAAAAAGATGCGAGTAAAAAGTATAAAATAATTTTGCACATCACTTATATTGTTTTCGAGAAATATTTAATTAAAATTTAATAATCAGAATACGTCTATATTGAATTTCTGTGTCAATCGGGATCTACTTCCTCATCGTAATTGCTTAAGGAGTTGAACCGTCAAATATTTCAACGCAAACTTCTAACACTGCGAAAGAATGACGCTCTAATGTCAATATATTTATGATAGTTATGTTATTTTAAGAAATCAGTTTAAAGTAAGATAATGGTATTGGTACTATTATGGTACTTGACGGGTTTTACCGATCAACGAATTCGTGCAAATATCAATGCATAAGCAGATATGACTTGCGTACTATTTATTACAGTATACTCTGATATTATAAATTCAAGATTTCATTACTATAATTTACTGGGAATTTATCAAGGGCGTGTTGTACCTCATACATAATAAAATCGTGCATTTGCAATATTATCATCTATCACAAATTTTATCTCTACCAGTCTTTATGTAATGGTACAAAAAAACAACAACAAAGCGTTACACGTTACATACACAGTAACACTCTTTTTAGCGCAAATCGTCATCGTATCGTTTCCTCGATGTCAATGTGTTTTCGATGGTATTCTTCCGCGATTCGATCAAGATTGCACCAACACTTTGTCACTGCTAGATAAGTAAAAACAATCGGTCGACAGTTATTCCAAGTAATTTCCACACGTAAGAAGGATTCTCGGAACTCGTGTCGATGTTATCACGTGAACCGTTCGCGATTAAAGTTCCGTTTATTACCAAAATTCCGTTGGCAGAAAGGCTCTCTCGGGTACGAAAAGCTCGCCGGGCGACGCGACAACGGTAGTGTCCGCTACGAAGTCGGTAATGATAGTCGAAAGAGCGGTACGGTACTGCACCGATATACCTCCATCCATTTCACTCTCACTGTCCTTGTTGGTCTCACTTGTGCCCAGTCTTCTTCTCGTCCTTCCCGAATGCTCCCAACCGCACTCTGGCAGTGAAAGTACTCTCTTCCTGTGGTTACATACACGCACCCACCTCCCTTCCTACCTACCTACCCTGCCCTAGCCAGCAACAAGTTTAGTAACCGCATGGCATTCGCACGGATGTTACTGCTTCTTGTAGGTCCACGAAAAAAATTATACAATCTCACGAGGAAGAGGATGAGCGGTCTGCTTCCGCGTGGAAAAACAGTAACCTTTCAAGATAAAGCGCACAAAGCGATCTATCGTTTCTAGATAAAACTATGTATAGAAAACTTTGCAGCGAAAAATTTTCAACAAATTTCATTAGAAACATAGTTATTATGCAATATTATTGCGGTCACACGTGAATTACAAAATCTACTTGCATGTTTGCAGGAATGCATTATTGAGTAATCCAATGAGTAATTCGTTGACGCGCTTGGGCTTGCGTCAGTTGGATAGATGTAGCGATAAAAAATAGCACGTGGCTCTAAAAAGTACTAGACTTGATAGAGGCTATTATTCATAGTCAAATTTTACTATTTATATAAATATTTAAGACCGTCTTAAATTTATCTTAAGTTTATGTTCAGATGCTGTGTAGGACATTTTATGGCTAGAAAATATGTAAAGATGATTTCAAATACAAGTTCTTACCATGAATACTGCCCAAAAGTCACATGTCAAACAAGTAGATCAAATCGGAATGCTCGTATTTCCAAAAGTTTGCATTTTCAGCGACACGAAGCTACAAGTATCTGATTGAAATTTGTATGGAGGACAGTTTATCCAAACTCCATGTAATATATGTTTCTCATAAATACACCTTTCTTCTCTCGTCTACACTTTCTTTCGTTAGTTGTACTTTACGCAAGCTATTTTCGCGCATAAAGTTAACAGACTAAAGTCTGAGGTAAATACGACGGTAGTCGGTTACTTTCACTCTCTCTCATGGTGCAGGTGGTCCATCTCTTTTCGTATGCACTGTATATTATAGTGTTCCGTATTATTTCGTACACATTGGAATCGAATACATTCGAAGGAAGACGAATCTGCTTAATGGATCGTTTTAACTGTATAATCGATACAGTCGATAGACATTGAGTGAGCGCAGTTGAAAGAAATATTAAATACGTCTTCGAAGACACGAAATAATCGCAGAAGCGGAAATAACATTGATGTATATTAATTCGCAACGGCCTGAGCTACTAGATTGAATTGCTATATCTGTTCTGTCGGATGCGTTAACAGATAAAACGAGGAAGCGGAAATAGAAAAAAAACGCGCACGCACGTGTGAGAATATGCGCTTCGCCACGCGCAACTTTTGGCACGAGTTTGCAACGTTATATAAAATTACATCCGCCCACTTGCGATTCGAAAGCCGTCACGATCTCGTACGTCAGAAATATCGAGTAGTCCTTTTTTTGCGTTCGCGCTGCCGCAACCGGAAATGTATGCGCTTCTAATAATAAGCGTTTGAATCGTTAAAGCAAGTTTACCTCTTTATCCATTCAAAGTTTCATTATCGGTTCACACCAAGATATTGATTCGAACTGCATATTATTAAATGATTACATATGGAGAAAGGAAGAGGGGCGGGGAGTATCGCATCCGACGTATAAAATAACAAGCACGGAGTGTAATTAATTGATGTTTAATGAAATAAATAAATAAATCTTTTTTTACATTATTTACCATAGAATGGCACTGCCACTCTAATATCATAAAAATTTCTAGTTCAATGACTTTGAAACACTCGATGTTTCTGACATTCTAATATATGTACATATTACATTCTCCGACTCTCTCTCTCTCTCTCTCTCTCTCTCTCTCTCTCTCTCTCTCTCTCTCTCTCTCTTCCTCCCCCCTCCCTCCCTCCCCCCTTCTTTCTTTCCCTCTGCCTGTTCATGAATCGCTCGTTAATATTTATCAATGTCTAACGGGAGAATCTTTCTGTCATATCACACTCGTACAATCGGTATCTCATAAATATTAATCTTAAATTTTAAAATTAATTATAAATTTTTATTGTAATATTTTTATATCGATCACACACTGACTGCCTTTCGAAATATTATCATGCAAGTGTGGACAGGGATTTTTTTCGTCGGATTTCACGTAAAATAAAAGATGAAATTTATATATTATACAGTAATCGCGTTCGAGTGGCGATCGTGGCGCAGAGGATTGTGCGCTGGTAATCCGAAGACCTGGGCTCAAAACCAAAACAAAACATTGTTGGTTTTTCGTTCGATCGCCACATATAGAGAAGTGGATATAGAGAGAGGTGTTATGAGAGGTTTGGGCACGTTCCTTCAAAAACGCCTTGTAACCCTAAGGGGAATCAATAAAATGTATTTACAGTAATCGCGTTCGCGATAGAGAGCAAGGATGTTCAAAAAGAAGAAAGTAAAAAATAGAAAGTTTAGTAGCCATCCCTCATACGATACAATTGGAATTTTGGTTGTATTCGGAGATGCGACAAGATGTACACGCATTCACGTACAGTCCCCGTTGATTTCTATGAATTTCGTCCGATACGTTGCTTTTCCTTCACGCGCCAATCTTCCTTGATAATGTCACTGACTTTCTCGCCGATCATGATGGTTGGTGCGTTCGGATTGCCGCTAACAATGGTCGGCATTACAGAAGCATCGGCGACTCTGAGTCCCTTCACCCCGTAAACTCTCAGTCGCGGGTCCACGACGGCCGTGGGATCGCCTCGCGGTCCCATTTTGCAAGTACCCGTTGGATGATAAATTGTGAAGGTAAAGTGTCGTACGGCGCACTCCCAATATTCATACGTATCGAACGGAAATTTATGGCAGCCTGGCATACGAATCGTATGAGGTCTCGAGCCGAATCGCTGAAACGCGCTGGTATTGGACACCCGCATCGCCAATCCGATCCCTTCCACGAGAACGTCCACGTCCTCCTTATGCGTGAAATAGTTGGGATTGATATCCGGCTGAACCAAAGGGTTCTTGCTCCTCAATCTGACCCAACCTGTGCTCTTGGGCCGCAGTAGAAGCGGTAAGATCGACCAGGTCTCGACGTTGTGCAAGGGTTTGTACATAATGTTGTACACGCGATCCCTCAGACCGAGAATCTTTTTTATTTGTTCGCCATCGGAATTGATGGACGTTGGCGCGAAATGGAACTGCACGTCCGGATAGTCACCGGACTTGTCAGCATACTTGGTATTAAGAAAGGCCAATGCCTCGACTCCCGGAGTAGTCAGAGGTCCTCGCTCCCTCGCGATGTATTCGAACATTACCGGGACAGTTTGAAATCGCTCCTTCATCAGGGTGATGGACTCGTTTACGAGAAAAGTCAGCCCGCCAAGGCCGACATGATCCTGAAGATTATCCCCAACTCGTAGATCGGATATCACTGGAATATCGAACTCAGTCAGGTGCTCGCTGGGACCGATCCCGGACAGCATGAGCAAGTGAGGCGAATTAATCGCGCCGGCGGATAAGATTACTTCTCTTCTGCATCTCACGACCTGCTGTTTACCGTCACGGAGGAATTGTATGCCCGTCGCCCTTTTGTCGGCGTTAAAGAGCACCCTCAGAGCCTGAGCGTGCATCGCTATGTGCAAATTCGATCGATTCTTCACCGGTCGTAGGAAGGCCTTTGCCGTGGAGCATCGACTGCCACGTCGAATTGTCGCTTGCGTCAACATAAAGCCAGTCTGATTGAACCCGTTTATGTCGCGATTATCATAGCCCATCTCTTGACCAGCTTGCAGAAAGGCGATCGCCAGAGGAGATTTCCAGGGTGGCTCCTGCACCGTTAGGTAACCACCTGCCTCGTGATAAGGTGTCCTCGCTAAATACGGATTACGATTGTCTTCAGACTTGAGGAAATAAGGGAGCACCTCCTCGTAACTCCATCCCGTATTACCCGCTCGAGCCCAGTTGTCGTAATCGTACCTGCGAGAGCAAAGTATCGTTCTAGTCCTAGCAACAAAGGTGAAAAATGTACCTACGTATAATACTTGCCTATTACCACGAACATAAATCATGGCGTTGAGAACGCTGCTTCCTCCGAGTACTCTGCCGCGCGGCCAATTACACCTGTCGCCTATCATGGCGAGACAATAGGCAGATGTGCTGGGTGGTGAGGTCTGGTACTTCCAATCGAATTCCGTGAGCTGATTGTATCCGGCGAGCAGAGGGATGTCCGATATTTCGTTCTCATCATCACCAGCTTCTAAGAGTAGCACCGACCAATTAGCTACTTCCGACAATCTCGAGGCCACCACGGCACCCGCGCTGCCACCTCCGACCACTATAAAGTCGTACATTCGTAGCAGCTGAAATTGTTTATCGCGATTCATTATGTAGTATTCGTTACGTAACTGAAAGTTCAAGTATGCAAGGTATAGCGGGTATGCCGCTATGCGGCTGGGAGGATTTCATTTTGAACAAGAAATGCAACATTAATATAAACATCACGCGTATTCGAATATGTATAACTTTTCTGTATGAACTCAATTGACCTTGAAAAATTGTTGGCCGAGCAATTAGTAAGTTGAAGCAACAATGGTTGGCACACTTAATTTTTTTTATGTTTTCTCAAATGATTACGAGGTGCATCGCACGTAGCTGTCCCTTGATATTATAAAAGTTTTAAACCATAATTGTTAATTTTATCGTCGTCCACACGCGCAAGGAAGAAAGAATTCTGATGAAAGTGTTAAACGTTAAAAGGAATTTTTCGTGCCACGAAACTGCCAACTATACCAGTTAACAATAAGATAAAAGATTGACGTGCTTCTTGAAGTCAGGAATTTAGTCTCTCCATATAAGATGATAATACTTTTATGTCTCCAATTTAACAGAGGCGCTAAACATGTAAGTGTTGCATATAAATTTGTTTTTTACCGTTTTTTTCCAACTTTCAATTGTTGCACATATTTATTAAGCTACCTTTTTGATCTCATTTTGATATATATTTCTAATGTTATTGGCCTGATTTCACTCAATACGGCGTTTTACATATGTGACACTTTACGGTTTTAGTTATGAAAATTGACTCATTGTTGGCACAATGTGGGAGCTTCTAAATGTTGTGAGCGCGCTTATGTTAATTTAATGCACTTGAGAAGGACTGGAATCGCAGTCGAAACGTAGTGCTAGTCTAATAAAAATTGCCAGTTGGTCGAAGAAAGGAAATTTGTTTATTTATTACTCACTGGCGAAGAAAAAGGTTTCATCTCAGAATTTTAATAAGATAAAAGCGTCAAGTGAGGACCAGCCTCTTACGTTGACATTGTTTACACATACATATGTATAAATATGTATATCGCTCATGCCCGTTCTACACCTAGGGATGATCCTACTTGTGGCTCATCCGAGTGAGTAAATGTATAGACCAAGATGGTGCCATTTTTATATAACAAGACGGTTAAAAATCATAGTGAAATCACACAAAAACCATGACAGTCATGCTAAAATCCCCGTGTAAACTTCTCCACTCGGATGAGCCACAAGTAGGATCTATCGCGGACCTATATCCTATATCCTAGATTTTAAATCCGTTGGTCAGTAGTCGGTGACTTACACGCGTGCACTACTTTATCGACTCTACGGGGACTAGAGTTATGCAGGGATTGCCTAAAGGTCTAAATTTTCTACAAGTATTTGTACCTCTTGTGCATTTTGCGGGTGCGATTCTGGGTCGAGGTTATTGTATCTGTACACGGTGAAACCGATGGCCAAAAGTGGAATCAAACCGAGCCCGAGAACGGAAGTGACGCCGATCAAGCTCGTTAACACTGCTGCCATTTCCGTTTATATTCCGTTCACCACCAGACATCAATATCCGAATGCATGTCACCCGAGTAAATGATTCTTTCGAAGCATCAGTAGAGAAATGTGAGTCGTCTGAAAATAAATTACTAATTAAATTACCAATAAAAATTAAAGTATCTATCGATACTTGAAATAAACGTATAAACATCATACGCGAGTGAATTATAGGTTTGTTTTCTGTTCCTGCACTGGTGAACTGGTGCAGTAAACTAGAATGAGAAAGAAATATGCTTGTCTTACTCTGATTCATTGCACTAGTTCACTAGTGTAAGAACAGAAAACAAGCCTTATGTTTAAAACGATTATAGAAAGAAATGATAATGTACAATCTGTGAGTAAATACAATACCGAGAAAATTATGTAAAAAGAATCAAAGGAAATATAAAGAAATAATATTTCTTGCAATAATGTACACCTATGAGTAAATACAATACCGAGAAAATTATGTAAAAAGAATTCAATGAAATATAAAGAAATAGTATTTCTTACAACGTGACAAGACGAACTTTTTATACAAGTTAATTATATTTACGTATGTCAATTATAGATCGCACAGAAACTTACTCAGAAATGCTATTATATGGCTTACATACGACAGTGAGGAACGAGAGAACGAGAGAGAGAGAGAGAGAGAGGGAGGGATAAAATGGAGGACGTTCGTTACGTTTTAGATATTTCGTCTTGTAAACGTCAAACCAATGTCGTTTGTTCTGTACATAAGCATACCTTGTCTCAGATACCACAAACTTGCTGGGAAAAGTGTTGCGGGAATGGTGTCAGCGTCTGTATGATTTCCACACGCATTCTGTACACGCCGTACATTCCCATCCACCTACTTCTCTCTGACAATGTGACCAACAGTCAGATACCGTTTCACTCGGTAAGAATTGAGTCGCCGAATTTTGTATGGCGTCTCGACGTCGCTGGCACACTTGCAAATTCGAATATTGTCCGTTACAAAGATATCCTAGCAATGATAAGCGTTTACTACGCTCGTATCTGCAATATGCACATCGATGCGTCACTCGCGTGTATTTTTGCACGTTATTTCCCGATACACTGTTTCATTGGCTTTTATTTTATATATATATATTTGGCGGTCTTTTTCTTTACTTACTACGATTTCTCGTGAGATCCAAAACGATCTTCCGATATTTGAGCTCATATTTGCGGCCAGAGTCCAATCATATCTCAGTTTTATCCTGCGTCGCTACGTACAAAACGTACGTGTGATACTGCACAAATCTGCCTGTGATAAGCTTAAACTATTGGTGAGAAGAAGCAATGCAGAAATGTCCGATGATAAGCCGGCAAAATGGCAGCGGAATGAGAGCTAACGCCGGTAAGAACCAGACTGCGGTGCACTGGTGAATGTCCCAAGTGAAAACCAGCTGAGCCCCTAGTATATCCTTTCAATACCAACGTCACGTACGAAAACGTGATCCCGTAACGTAGAGGCTGTCGTGCAAATCCGAATCTTCTCAGATAGACTAGACATTATCTTTGCATTCCCAGGTAGTACAGACGAACGTTGGAAAATAAAAAAGTATTCACTTTTTTAAATTCTCTAGGAATTATTGCAATCTGTTTCAGATAAACCCCAAAAGAAAGGGGAAACTCCTTCCCGTTCCTAGTGCGAGTTCTTATAGAGTACAAAAAGAATTAGTTTTAGATCCGGAAAAGTGCTCAGAATTAGTGACATAAAACAAATTCTCTTTGAATTCTTAGGAATTAATGTTTTAAGAACAGAAACGGAATTTATTTCACAGTTCGGGAATTTAAAAAGAATTCTAATTGGGTTGTTTTTGAAAATCTTTATATACAGGGTGTCCCATTTTAACTTGGACAGTAAAATATCTCGAAAACAGCCCAGCAGACAAAAATGTTTCAGACAAAAGTTGTTTGGTTTCGAGGGGGCCATAAGATGGTACCATTGGTTTGACCTTGAAGAATTATTTGAAGGTCACATAAAGGTCACGCCAATTTTTTTAAATGGCGTTCCCTATTTTTTATTACATATTCTTGTAGCTTACCTCGAGAGCTTTCCAAAACGCTATTATAAAGTATTTTTTTATTAAGAACTTTTTGAATTATTAAGGTTTGAAAGTTCCAATATTTTGACATAAATTACAAAATATCTTGTAAAATATTCATTTTTTATCATCTTACCTTAATACTTTTTTGAACAGAATAATGATACAAATCAACCGGTGTAAAGAAAACACAATTTTGTAACAAGTAATAAAAAATTTTTTTTTAACAAAACTAAACTAAACATCATAAAGTGCAAGATGTGAAACAAGATAATGTGACATTTCTCAAATCTTGAAATAAATCGAATATTCTTTTCTCTTATGGTTTTAATTATTTGTGTTGTTTAACAATTGGTAGATTAAAATACGATGCAATAAAATGAATAATTATCTTAAGAGGCGCGAGGCAATAAGCACGTAAGAGTAACAGGCAAGTTCTCTCCGGCGCAATGTTATCGAGATTTTGCGTATGCGATTTCGCAACGAACGTTATCGAACGAAGAGGGTCAGGCGGCACATCGTTTTCTTTTCGAACGCGTGAATCGTATGCTAGACTTTCCTCTCTTTCACGCGTGGTAACGGTGTCGATATCTTTCTCTTTGCTTTCGTGGTCGATGCACGTGGCGAGGAGACGAAAGAATTTACTCGCGTGCACTTTCTCTCTTCTGTGATGTCTACGTGCCGTTCAGCAGGTAGCACCTCTCTAACCCATACATTTACCTATGCAATTACGGTGCTCTTTAGTAACTACGTTGCCACGCGCTGCGCTTCGATTCTCTCGTTAAGCCGCGGTCTGCTACGGAAATCGATGTGAAAGAAGCTGTAATTTCACCTTTGCGACTTCGACACAATAACCTTATTTCGCGATACAAATTCTGAAGGATTCTACGTTACGAGGGGTCGAGATCTATGCGAATCATGTGTGACAATGTATGACTTAATATTTTAATTTTGTCCATGTCGCATCCGGAGAAATATATTCAACATCCTCGTGTAACCAGACCCTCAATTAACTTTACTAATTAATTCCACAGTAATTGGTGCATTCTGTAATTCTGCGATAAAGTGTACTTGCGGAAATGCAAATAAATTTGAACGGTTTATCGATCAAATCCAAACATAGTAGTAGTAATAGTAGAAGTAATTCGCTATACTTTGAGTGAGCAATGGTGTCCTACTTTTTTCCCCCCACAAAGCCTCATCGTTTAACGGCTTCATCGAGCCACGCACCGGCCCGACAAGACTCGTTGTTGTTTTCTTCTGTTTCTTTTCTACAAAATTACATAAATATGCATGCCAGGCAGACGTGCGAAAAATAAAAACAGCGTCGGTGAGGATTGAAACATTTTCAATTGCACATTCATGCATATTGCACAAACTGGCGTCTCATTTCTCTTTATCGAAATGCGTTGAACATTTCGATTATATCGAGAGAGAGAGAGGGGGGGGACGGGGGGACGCACATGTTTTCCACCGAACTTGTTTATATCATGTCTTACAATTCACGATTTAAACTTTAGTGATTATTACCCTCGAACGAATTTGTAGTCGACTCCTCGCTGATAAAAATATTCAGATATAGCCAAAAATTTACGAGAGTTATAAGCGTGGAAACGAGGGGTAAACCGCTCAGGACATTGTGATACAGATTTGCGACATTACTGGGCATTAGGCCCCTGCTGGGGCATTATAAAGATAAAATAAGATATTATCCAGTCGACTTTTACCACCTCTACAACACAAACACTTATATCTCGACGACGATCTTTCAATCTACAGCAGCTAATAAATCCGAAAAGAAAAACGGCTCACACTTACAGCTGTTATGATTTGCGTTGCGAGCGATGTTTATCTTTTTATCTTTTTATCTTTCGACTTTATATTTAAATTATATTTTATACTCTATTTATTTTATACATTGAAGATGGCCTAGAAAAAGGCCGAAACATTGGTATTTTTATGTTTTAAATATATGAGAATGTTATTATTGTGACACTAACATCTAGTCTCTTAGTCCTTTTATTCATTGATTAAAATAAGATAATAAGATTAAGTAATGCCCACTAGACATTGGTAGAATTGGTGTACATGATTTTGGCCAGCGGTTTACCCCTCGCGTGAAAATAAACTACTTCTAACGAAAATAAAAAATCCTACTTTGACCTCCTTAAAAAGCTAGCTAATTTTAAAGAATAACATTAACAATATATAGATAAACACATGACGCGACCGATCTTAGTTTGTAACTACAAGTCATCAGAGAGTGACACAGATCTGTCCATAAAACTCGCACTAATAACGAAGAACCGAAAAAATGTAAGTTCAAGACATCTACTATCAAATTCTTAATATTAACAATCTAACCAAGAAAATTTACAGATCGGATCAATCACCAGAAGAACGGGCCTATTTTAGCTGACTAACTAATAATAGGAAAATCGGAATCGCAGTACAAGTTATTAGACGGGAAAGAACAGATCTCGGAAAACAAAAACCACACGATAAGTTAACTAGAAAGAAAATGCGACTTATAACTCTAGACACAAACTCCATCTTATATCTTTTACTTTTTGACCTTATTTATACAAGTTAATTTATTTATACACTTTATACATTCTCACCATTTTATACTATTAACCTAAATTTAGATATTTTTACTATTTTATATTATAAACTCAAAATTTGCGCTGAAGAAGGTGCTGTGAAACGTTCGCAACAATTCTGTATACCCTCGAATTTTAACATATACCAAGTAAATGTTTTAAATTATTAACTATTTGACTTTTATCTTTTATTCGCTCGTAACATTGGCCTTTGTAATGATTCATTTGAAAATAAAAAACTTCAGCAGGTCATGTACATGTTTTAACTACGGATTTTCTTTTGTGCTATTTTTAATTAATTATTTCGATGCAAAGATGGCGCGGAGCAAAGATAATATTTTTTATTCGAAATCATGCTCTCTGAAATCGTCCAAGCTTCTTTATACTCGTGTCACATTACAAGCAGTATTTACGATTTATAGAAAACTAAGAACGTGGAGCATAAATTTACAAATCGTATACCGTGTTGGTACGTGTGTACCACTGCCTTATACCCTTGCCTTATAACCCTGATTTTGAAAGTACTCGAGGAAAACAAGTCGGAAAATAAATTTCGCTTGCCGGAGCCGACCACTTCTTCGATCACTTTAATTAATATTAATTGTTGCTTAGGCAAGAATGCCAGTACATTTTGTAAATTTCAGCACGTATTAAATATTAAGCACATGTTGCGTTTGAAAAAGTTTCTCTTTTAAGTATGAAGAACTCAATATCGGTTATTTTACGTGACACTTTTACTTAAAATAATTTTAATAGTGACTCTAAATACATGCTCTTCTAATACAGAAAAATAGAATTTTTCTAATAAATTATATATTGAAGAAGTTGCAACGAATATCGGTGAATCTGTGGAGCAGGAGAATGGACGATCTCGCGATGTCACTGGATGGATTACATAAGAAATTTTACAGGTGAAATTTACTTTCATTTCTCGAACGATATGACGCATTCAGGGACGCTGCGGAATCGATTTCAAATTTCGAGTGTCCTACATTGAAAAGTAGTAGGAGAAGTAATTAAGAGAAAGATAGAATAAAGCTATCTAAATTATGGCGAATATACAGGGTGTCATTGAATATTGGGGACTTTTTGGTGTGCAGGTAGAGCGGACTAGACCGAGTCGAAAAGCGTCCTGTACCATTTTGCAATTTTCGCAATAGATAACGAATAATTAATTAGTCAAAATTGTCGTCTTAGCCCGGCCCACCTCCCAATTCGAGCGCGTGGCGAGATGTGACCGCCAAATTTGACAATAAATTTGACCGCCGGGCGGTCACATCTCGCCGTTGACTTAATCAGGGAGAAGCAACCTGATATTGTATTAGTATCAGATCGAGCTGTCTCCTCCCATGATGAAATAAATTGAAATTCTTACGAAACGTCGTAATAAAATGGCAAACTTACGTAGCTTCGAGCCAGAAACCAAATCTAGTATTCACGTACTGTGATACACTACATCTCGTATCCCCTCTGTATAAGTCTACATATACATAGATACATATATACATACATACATATCAAATTTAGAAAATAATGTTAAATGCGTTATTAACCGCTTAACTTTTAACGATGCGTCAAAGTTTTCATTGGTACCGTAAGGATCTCAATATGTTATAAAGACCCCATTGTCAGTGTGTACACGCATGGTACTTTCGCCAGAGCTTACACAATATCGTTGTGGCAGTCTATTTGTACCATTGTACGTACTATGTGCGGTATACCTTTGTATGGACAAATCGATAAAAAGTTGATTACGACAGAACCGAAATTACAGCAGCAATTGTACCATATGTCATGTCGTTATAATGGAGAGCGTAGTTATCCTAACGCAATTGCAGATTAGTTACGGCTGATGCATTTTACCCGATCTAATCGACTCAACAAACTTCCATATCAGTTTAGCTTATCAGTTGTCTAGCTTAAATGGATATGTAAAATCGCAATACTCGTATTCTCATTTACACGTAACCCTTTGTATATAATTAGAACATTCCGCTATATTACTGGTCTTACAATTATAAGGAAATATATTTTCCATTTTTATTACTTGTCTATCAAGATCTGAGTCAATAAAAAATATCGTTTCTGTTCTCTAACTCTACAGAGATCTCTCACAATCAGATAAAAATAGTAAAATATTAAAATACCAAAATAATTACTAATGTTACAACGTTTTTAACTTGGATCGAATACGTCAGGTAAATTTCAAGGAATCAATTTAAAAAAAAAGATTATCGGTAAAATTATTTTATTTATTTAATAAAATCTTTGTCTTATAAAAGTGGAACACATTTACCGTTAATGGACTCTTATCTTAATTAATACACATCTTTATTGTGCGTAACGAAAAAAGGAAATCTCGCCGGCATGACCCCTGGCACAACTATGGCAAACCTCATACGCAACATTTGTATATAATTATAATCATCTCCTCGATTCATCTCTCCGGTCGAGTATCCAACATTTAATTATGAATATTTTGAAACACACTTATTTACGGAGTAGAGATGTCTTAATCAACAACATTTCGACGTGACTTGTTCTACTCTAGTGCTGAATTTTCACAAACCGCTATTACACAACGTCTTTGTCGACATAATTAAGAAGACGCCAGAATCTCGCGCCGAATAAATGAATTTTCATTGATATTCCATGAAAATACTCCCTCTTCTGAAGCGAGATGGCATTTTTGGCAAAAATAATCAAAAAGAATCGGATGAACGAAACGAGAGTGCAATAACAGCACACACCGAGTACTGTTATTACGTTGCACGTTGCATTAATGTAAACGTAAACTGTATTACCAAATGTTTGAACCTTGTATTATACGAGAAAAATTTTATTTACGGACAAATTTACTATTGCGAACTTATTACTTTTCTGCTTTCTTCCTACTTGCCTTCTTACGAGCTATTCCGGTATTAGATTTGAGATTAATTTCTCTCACGAAAATGCGTAGTGCTACTATTTAAAGCTGTCGTTTGATTTAACTTTCCACTTGACCGTACATATCTATGCTACAGTACATTATATACATTACACACACACTCATATACACACATACACAATAAAAATTATAAACATAATTATATTCTGTTTTTACTCTGTCTTGACAATCAATTTGTTATACGAGTACGAACGGTTTCTCCGAATGTTTCTCCGAAGATTGTAGATATATGTTATTTTTTCCTTGAAAAGGATCACAATCCGGATGGTCGAAACGTTGGAATAAGTTACTAAATAAACTACTTAGCAATCGATGTATCAGGAAGCAGCGGCAGTGACATTGTCCCTCTTGAGACGAGACCGTCCTGTCCAGCTTGCCTTTATCATATCCGCGCCTTTCTCGGCTATCATGATTACAGGTGCGTTAATGTTGCCGCTGGTTATAGTCGGCATGATGGACGCGTCAATCACCCGCAAGCCCTCGACCCCGTAGACCTTGAGCTCCGGGTTGACAACTGCCATCGGATCGTCGGGCGGGCCCATTTTTGCGGTGCAGCTCATATGATAAATCGTCATGGTGTATTGTCGGACGACGCAATTCCAGTACTCGTCCGTATAGAGTGGAATGTCCTTACAATTAGGTAGTGGCTTGCTGTGGAATCTAGAGCCGAATCTTCTCATACTGCTGGTCTCGCCGAAAGCGATAGCCGCCTTGACACCCTCGCGAAGCACCGCCACGTCATCCGGGTGTGTGAGATAGTTGTGATACAGTAGTGGGTAGTCCAATGCGTTCCGCGATCTCAGTCTGATGTAACCGCGTGATTTGGGCCTGAGTATCATCGGAAATACGCCGAAGACGTCGTGATTATTGATTTTACCAAATACGTCGTTGTAAAATTCGTCCGTCAAACCGTGAGCGTTCTTGACGTTACTACCACCGTCTGAATTGGTTGACGAGGACGTCAACATGAATTCGATGTCGGGCCAATCGTCGGTCTGATTGGTATATTTGGTGGAAATGAAGCCAACCGCCTCGAGACCGATGCTGGACGTTAACGGGCCGTCCTCAGTGATGGCGTATCTCAGCGCCGAGTTAAGATTCACCATCCGATTCATAACGATACTGATTTCGTAATCGATTAGGAAAACGAGCCCACCAACCGCTATATGATCCTGCAGATTCTGCCCAACCCCGGGTGAATCTTCAATCACGGGAATTCCCAATTGCTCAAGATGTACGCGCGGACCTATTCCCGAAAGCATCAACAGCTGAGGGCTACCAATAGCGCCGGCCGAAAGGATCACCTCTTTCTTGGCGAACACCACTTCCTTACGACCGTCTCTGATAAACTCTACTCCATACGCTCTTTTACTTTGCGGATCTATCAGCACGCGGGTTACATGGCTCCACAAGGAGAGATGAAAATTTTCTCTCAGCTGGATCGGTCGTACAAATGCCTTAGCGGTGCTACATCTAGCGCCTCGTCGCATCGTGAACTGGAAGAAGGCAAAACCAGTTTGTTGCTCGCCATTGATATCACAAATATCGTAGCCCATCTCTTCTCCTGCCTGAAGAAACGCTACGCCCAACGGGGTGACATACGGGCTATCCTGTACGGTCAAGTATCCTCCTTTTGAAAAGAACAAAAGATGTTTCTCATGTTTTATTATAGACATACGCGCGTGTGGACAAATGGAAACAACGAATGCAAAGATACGTGCAACAAGACAAATGTAAGAAAAGCGTACGGACCTGTACCATGATATCTTGCATTGCGTGCGAGATATGGATTCCTTTGGTCCTGCGATTTTTTGAAGTACGGCAATACATCTTCGTATCCCCAGCCAGGATTCCCAAAGCTTTCCCATTGATCAAAATCACGTCGATTGCCGCGAATATAAAGCATCGTGTTTAAAACGCTGGATCCTCCGAGAACCTTAAGTATTAATTAATCAATTGTGAAGAGACGGCACAAAATAAAACAATAGCGCGTTCGGCTAGGCCAATCGATTAATTAGCTTGTTTTCTCAACGTCATCTCTAGCATCTTTTCAACTTAATCTTTGCGTCTTTCTAGAAATGTAATTAATCATCGCGGTACAAAGACTTGAGAAGTAAATATTTTGTGTACATTGAGTAACGGCACTAGAAGAATTACTTTCACTCTAGCTTTGATTGCATGCCACACGTGTGTATTTGACCCTCGCAATATGTGGCGCAATAACCGGATAACAGCGTTTTGTGCGTATCCGATAATTATTTTTATTGTTATTATTTCGATGTGAATGCGATTGACTCGGTCAACGGATCTTTGATGTATGTAGTATATTAATACCAAGGTGATAGAGCATTTTAATACATGTTGACCATGAGAAACAATGTGTGTGTGCGCGCACATTGGCTCCTATCTCTTCTACAATATATAATATAATATACACATGTATATACCTTGCCTCTAGTCCAACAGCATCGGCGATCGACCATCGCCTGACAGGCCGTATCTTGCGGCTGCGTGCGGTACTTCCAATCGACTTTACTTTTGTGCAGATATAACGATAGTATCGGCACGTCGGTTATCTCAGTTTCATGACCTCCGGCCTCCAGTAGAAGCACATTCCATTCAGGATTCTCTGTCAGCCTGTTGACAAGCACACTGCCAGCTGAGCCACCGCCGATCACAATAAAGTCGTAGTCCTTCCTCAATTGTCTCGTTACGCGCGGATGGTTTTCTGGATCCATGAGGTCATAATTGAAGTATGCGAGCGCGGCAATCAGTACTGGGATTATAGTTATCTTGCCGATACCAACTCCAAGAAGGACAGTAGCTGTTTTTATAGCGGCACCAACCACCGTCGCGATGCTCATCTCTTGCTCTAGTCGTACTTTTTTAATATTAATATCAATCTCCTCCGAAACTTATGCATTCGAATAGCCAAGTTTATAACAACACTTTTTATCACTTGGCCGTGAGAAGATTTACGTGTAATGGAAATTGCTTAACGACATAGAGATCAAAAACCCATAGCTACGTGCACTAATTGTCAAAGTTGTCGAAACACCTCTCTTTGAAACCCTGTGCGAGGATCTGGAAATAGAATAACAAATTTATATTATTAAATTATTTTAGTTCGTAAGATTGACGCGATCGAAAAAATTGTTTCTTTTTCACGATACGTTTTATCTTTCTAAAGTACCGCGAAATCACGGATCAATAAAAGTCTAATTTTAATATATTTACCATTGCAAATTTATTTAATGCATATTTCACCAATCGGACAATAAATTGCCTACTAACATCTGTATACTATAAAAGATCAAAAATATTGACGGCATTAATAGTCAATTAATTTATTTCTACATCCTCGGCTTACATTACGTAGTAACGGTCTATTTTAAAACCGTCAATTCATTAATATTCTCAATAAAGTGAAATTGATTTCAGAGATTAAGCAATCGATTTTTGCACAACTTTCAAATCTTTGAAACGGTATCCACGTAACGCGAACTTAACATTTCCCCTCGAGCGGTCTCCAGGCAAATAATGAGTAATCTGAGTGAGTGATGTAAACGTGAAATTCGAGAAATCATATGTAAATATCATAATATTATAAATTATCTAAAACTAAAGACTGTTACCAAATTATATCACCAGACATTCCATACATGTGAATATTGCATCATATAGAAAGTTGACCTAGGTCACACAGTTCATTAATTTCAATTCATGTTTGTTAATTTTTAGAAGAACCGAGAAAATTTTTTATTTTCCTTTTCTATTACACGTTTTCCCGAAGACTCGCTTAACTCGTCGAATTATTGTTCAAATTTATTAAATTTATTTCAAACTTATAAAACCTACGAATTTACTTATCTCTAAGTTCCTTGAATTTGAAATCGGCTCGATGTTTTGCGACATCCAGAAGAAGCGACAATTATTGCAAGTTTTTCATTTTCAATACCAAATATGTTTGTAATTAATAATACATAAATTCATATCCACATAATTACATAAATTAAATAATTAAAATTTGCTTGAGACGAGAACCAAGTGAAAATGAAAGTTTTCCTTGCATCTCCAAAATGTAGTCGTTTAATCAGAAAACTTTTTATTAGTTATCAACCGTATTGTAATATTAAATTATAACTTGTAGAAAGAAACTGTTCAAGTCCCTTGAACGACTTAACTGTGAACAGATTAGTCCGAAATGGATAGAGACTCCGTAAACAGGTAAAAGATGGCTCTGTCTTCTTAAAATAAATTACATTATATCCTGGAACAGCCTTAAAAATGTTGGCTGCCAAAACGTTTTAGTTTTTATATATTTTTTATTTGTTTTTCGTTATTTAGGTACGTAGATGTTAATGAGTTTTATGACATTTCAAATCTCTGATGTGATTTTGATCAAAGCAAAATTGCAAAGTGTGACTAAAAAGTGTGCGATTGAAAGTTGTCGCAAGTTTATCTTTACTTAAGAGGGGCATTTCACATCGAGGAGCTAACAATTGCCAAGCATATTCGTTCGCATAACTTTTCAATCAGTCGGATTTGTATGTAAAATTAAACACGTCGATACATTAGTTAGATGATTATACTTTACCACCTTATAAAAGCATGACGGCGCGATAAGAGAAGCCAACTGGTTCCCTTTCTCCAACAAGAGTATCGCTCTGTATCATGGCACTGATATAAGAGAACGGAATCACAGATGCACGTGGTAACGATCGAAATGTTGCGCGACTGAGCAGTTTAACGTGGCAGAGAAAGCGAAAGACTGAGACTTTAAGTATTGTGTTGGTCGTATAAACCACAGCGACTTACCACCACTCCACACAACCTTTCCCACATCCTCGTTCCACAAGGTGTACGATTGATCTCCTAATTAGTGCTAAAACTAATTGTAAGACTACATTTTTGTCATAATAAAAGTTACGAATGCATTTACGATAAATTAGATGCAGTTAAACTAACAGACATGCTTGAATATGCATACATATAACATTTGTATTAGTGAAAATGAAATAACGTGTATAAAGTTATATGTGTATACAGGGTGTATTCTAATTCGCGCCCACCATTTATATAGTGATATTTCTCATGAAAAACTGAGTCGAAGAGTCCCGAACCATTTTTTCGAGTCACGCCACACAAAGTAGTTATTATTATTTAAAAATTAGCGAATCCACATCGCTTTTTAAACGGACGCACGTTCGTGAGCCACACGTCTACTAGTGTGCGTGAGTGAGTCGCCGCGCGCCTCAGCGTGCCACGGCCGTGTTCACGTAGCTCCGAAATAATCAATAATTGCTTTTTGCAATGAGCATGATATTTTCTACCCAGGAAGCACCTTTTTAGATTACAATTTGATATTAGTTGTACTTTCACATAAGAAAATTGTAAAATGAAATAACTCTGGTGATAGTGCCCCCC